GGAACTACGGTTGCTCTGATTCTATTCCTGTCAGGATACGTAAGCACGAGATGCGATTTCTTGGCGAGCATACTTTGTGTATACTTTAGATCTTTACCTTAGCACATTTCCCTTTAGCAAGCAACTTTAGCATAACACAAATACTAACAAGAGGTTCCTGTAGAGTACTACAGATGTTTAGGATGTGAAATACCTACCCTAGGCATAACCAACCCCCGAACCTTTAGATCTCTTAGCTTCATTGTTACGTAGCGCAAAAAGGTTTTTCTTTCTTTAAACCTTTCCTTTGGATAAATTAAAGTCTGGTTGTGAATTTAAAAATTAAGATTCAAGTTAATCAATAGCTTGGTGTCATGATTCTCACCGCAACAGAAATGGTGACTTCACTGGGGACCTCCCCTAAGAGGGTTAAGCCCATCTTGTTTATATTTGTGTTTGCTTGCTTGTATATTTTTATATATTTGTACATATATTTGTTTGTGCCTGATTTTTTCTGTATGCAGGGTTGTTACTTTGAGTGGTGAGCATAAGTCCTATACCCGGACTTGAGTGTACTTATGATAGGAAGGTGGTATATTTAAGAAGGCTTATAGGGAGTTGATTCCCGACCAAGCTGACTTGAGAAACCACCACTCAGTGGAGGCCCTCTTGGGAGTATTTTTGTTGAACGAGTATTCGTGAAAACATTACTACTTTCAACCTAGGAGCCTGTGACACTGAGGACCTTTAGTTACCTTTTATCCCTACTTGACCTTTTAGGACGTAGTGCGATAACTATGAGGGAGTATTCCCGAAGTAGTTGATACATGATACTACACTCGGACGAGACTCTCTTGAGAATATTATTGATTTCCAAGCAGTTGGGGTGTCGATAATATCTGAAAGATGGATCGATGACTTTGGGAACTTTGTTAGAACCCGCTGTGCAGATGCTTTACCCCCAGTACACACCCTGTGGTTGGTTCTTTACCCAGACCTCTTGTTGTGATCTTGAACCTTTGATCATGTTATGTGTGTTTTGCATCCCGTCTTGCATAGCATTGAATTGCATTTGCATCTTTGCACAGTTCGTTGCATACCTCTGTTTGTCCAGTCGCTCATCTTCAGTTGTCCCCATCTTCCAGTGTGCCTTTGAGTCGTCAAACTGATTCCTCGACACTGATATCGTACTAGAGCCAACTATAGACGCAAGATGTCAGAGCAAGAACTACATGACACAGAAATCCGAATGGAGATCGATGAATTGAAATCAGGTATGACTAAGCTCACCGAGATGCTTCAAGTACTAATTTCTAGAGGAGAGCCATCTCAAAGGACCGTCGTTCAGGAAGTTTCTAGTGCTGATCCTCCTCCTATTCGAATACCACCTTCAACTTGGCCAGAGTTTGGTTTACCTCCCAACTACACTCCACCCCTTGCATCTATTGCTATGATTGGTCAGGCTCTCAGACCAGTTTTTCAAGCTTCCGTCTTTGCTGAGCCCATACCTGTGGTCCACACTGTTACCCAGACTGACCGAGCTCCCTTTGAGACTCCTTTCTTTGACTGCAATGCTGCCAGTGCTCAAGGGGAAGACCATGAAGATTTTTATTATAATCCCAATATTATTATTATTATTATTATTATTATTATTATTATTATTATTATTATTATTATTATTATTATTATTATTTCCCAAATAAATAATAACAAATAATAGTAATAGTACTAATTATCTAATTTAAATAATAATCACCTGTTATCATCCAAATAAACAATTACTTACTAATATTACTACTTAGTTACTTACCACACCACCCAACTCTATGTAATTGCTCACACACCCCGAACCATTTTCTCAAGGTCTAGTGTTAAAGTTACTACCTTACACCAAGGGTACCCGAAACACAACAAAACACGCATGATCACACACGTATACACAACATCTGATAATTCAGTTAATTAAAATAAAATGGGGCGTTACACAACCCCATTTCCAAAATTTGTCTATGATTTCTTTTTACTATGCCATTTTGATGTGATGTATGAGGGCATGTGAGCATGTGTATGATACATAGTTCATTCAGGAATTTTGTGAATGGTATGGATTCTCCAACAATGTCTGACTGAATGGCCTTGATTTGAGAGTTGAGTTGTGTTATAACATAGTTCATAAAAATCTTAAAGGCATTATAAGTGATGGCCTTGATTTGAGAGTTGAACTGTGTTATAACATAGCTCATAAAAAGCTTAAAGGCATTATAAGCGTCACTCTTCTGCTTAAGCCTGTAGATCCAAGTATATTTAGTATGAGCATCAACAAAAGAGAGATAATAAGAATAGCCTCTTGTAGAAGGTTTTGGGGAGGGTCCCCATAAGTCTAAGTGAAGTAATTCAAAAGCACAACTATATTTTGTATGAGATAAAGGTGCATAGAGCCTGTGAGATTTCCCTAGAATACAAGCATGCCAAAAATTCTCACATTTCTTATTATTGAGGAAATATTACACATGTCAAATACACGATTGATGGCTCTAGAATGGGCATGTCCTGATCTAGCATGCCATATACTATGACTAATGATTGATGAGACTGGATCATCTTGTCTAAGACTTGCAGTAGTGTTATTAACAAAAGAATGCAAAACTTGAGAACTATGAAATGTGAGGTTGAGTGAGGTTTCAAAAGTGAAATTTTTGAAGCAGTACAAACCATTTTCATCAAGAAAACGTTCGAGCAATAGTGGGTTAGATGCATGTGATTTGACAAAGTACTTTTTAGCATGAAATTCAAAGTATGCTTTATTATCCTTGGCAAAATTTGAAACAAATGGAAGATTTGTAGTGATTCTAGGAACATAGAGTTAGTTGTTCAGCAAAGTAGAAGTTCTAGACATGCATTTAAACTTAAACCTAGTTGAGAATATGAAAGACATGACTAAGTCATCTCCATTACCAACAAGGACTTCATGAGGTGATGCACTAGCATGTAAATTTTGAAATTTTGAAATGTTAAAGGTTATATGTTGGGATGCACTTGAGTCTGCAAGCCATGTTTGAGAATCCAAGTTGTGTGGAACTTGAAGGACATCTTGGTGAGCTAAGTGTGTTGTGGCTTGAATGGAGTTGGAAGTCTGACCTTGTGATTGCACTTGAGTCTGATCACTTCCAATTGTAGGAGCAATTTGTACCTGAGTTTTTCTCGGAGTAGGGACAAAGTACTCATCAAATCTATGACAACACTCAATAACTGAATGCCTATATTTGTTACAGAGTAGAGAAATATGTTTGTTCTCTGGAGTATATTGTTGTCTTCCTCTACCCCTCTTCCCCTCTGATAATGATATGATCCAAAGCTACTTGCATTTTTGGCTGAGAATTGGTTTGGACCTTCTTGTGCTATGTTAGTTGTAGCGCTTTGTGTTGTGAGCTCTTGTTTGTAATTCTCCATTTAAGTTTCTTGAACATAAAATAATGCTTCAACTTCGTGTGTGTATATATATAAAAGTTCCACTTTGCCATAGATCATTATGATGAACGAGTTATATTCCTCGAGTAACCCTTAAAGAATGGAACCCACTTGATCTCTTTTAGAGATTGGATCACCAATCGCTAGTAATGAATCTGCAATTGCTTTAATTCAAAAAACATACTCAGAGACATATTTGTTACCTTTCTTGATAGTTTTCAACTCACCTCTGAGTTGATGAACTCTTGCCTCCATTTGTGAGTGAAAATGCTTGTGACTTTTATCCCGTACCTCATATGCATTCTTGCATGAGAGAACTCTTGGTAGAACTTATTCAAAAATGGTGGATATTAGTCATGTGAAAAGAGTTTGATCTTGAACGATTCATGCTTCGTACTCTTCAGATGCAATATTCGAAAGTCTTCCACTATCAATTTTGAACGTCGGAGGGACTTGGGGATTTGCCACGATTTTGTGTAGTTTGTGTGACGCAATCACACCATCAACTTGCTGGTTCCTTAGAAGAAAGTTGTTCTTCTATAATTTGATGGAAAGTTTCGATGCAAACATGTTGCCTGAGCTTGAATTCACCACGATTGGCGCCATTGTTTGAGAAAATTTGAAAAACACATCTTGTGTTTCTTGCGGTACACTACTTTGATCTTCCATGGAAGTTTCTCTGAAGCTCGCCAGTGATAATTCAAGTTTGAAACATTGAATTGTTGCATGATCAAGAGCAAAATGAGTACGATTTTACGTGTGGAAAAAAGTCTCTTAAATGATTAGTACTATAATGAGAATAAGGATGAACAATGAAGATGAAAAAGATGAAGAAATCATAATCGCACACTTTGTATGAGATCTGTGTATTCTTCATTGAGTATTACAATGCTTGAAACATGACATATATAGTTTGGTTCAAACTTCACAAAGTTAGTTAGAAAATGTGAAAATTCATCATGGTTTTATAACTAACTTTCCTAACCTATTAAAACTAACTCTTAACCAACTTATTCAATCTCCAATATCTCTCTAATAGATTCCTCACAAAACATAAATTATATTTAAAAATAAACATCAAGTTTTAGATCAAAACCTATAAATTTATGGTCTCAAATTTTAAGGTTTACCTTCTTTCTTTGGGTTATTGTTGTTTCTTTGCTATAAATTTTTTTGGATTATTTGTTCTGCAGTCTTAAAGTCGGGTACTAAATTTAAAATAAAATATATATATATATATATATATATATATATATATATATATATATATATATATATATATATATATATATATATATATATATATATATATATATATATATATATATATATATATATATATATATATATATATATATATATATATATATATATATATATATCCAAAATAATGACCGTAAATTGTGGTATTCATAATGAAAAACTCAATTAGCACTACATAGTGTGTCAGACAACCCCACCAAAGTGTTGTTTTATTTAACAAAAACTCAGTACTTGCAAAATAGTACTACATATTAAAATGTTACATGATTTTCTTGCCAAGACCAAGGTAATTACAAGAGCAGAGTACCAGGAGTTGAAGTGGAAAGATCAGCACAAGTGAACCCACCACTTACGAGCTTGTTAATCGCATCCCTAAACTTATAATAATCCTCAACTTTATTATACACTTGATAAGAAATCCTAGCATACGCAGTCACACCTCCAACTTCCCCAACCCCATCTCGAAAATAAATAGGAACTTCAACCTTAAAAAACTCCCTCAAATATGTCCTAAGATTCATAGCATCACAATCACTCATAATCCCCAAACAAGGAGGCAAACCAACCATAACCATACTTGCACTCATATGATGTGGTGTCCCAAGATGTGTCCCCCAAGCTTCCACCAACATTTCACCCATCTCAATAACACACTCATGATTCCTCTTTTTTATTCCTTCAATTCCACCTTCAAACCTATTCACAAATTCCATAACATTAGGAACCACTAATTGAGCACTGTAATCTCTGTTCCCAATCCATGCACTTTCTATTGCTAGTCCATTTCCGTACTCGTGTGACACTACAGGGTGATGCAAATCAACTGAATTAACCGATTTACGCGCGTAGATGAAAGCGACCGAAGAAGGACAAAAGAACCACTTGTGCAGATTGCTTGTGTAAAAATCTGCTCCGATTTCTTGCATGTCGACGCGCGGGATGCATCCAATCGCGTGAGCCGCGTCGACAAAAACCTGATCAACACTTTCTTCTCTACAAATCTCAACTAGCTTCTTCACCGGAATCACCACGCTAGGCATGGAAGTCACGTGATCGATAACCGCTAACCGAACTTTATTATTATTACCTTCGGTCTTTGCTTTCTCCAGCGCGTGACGAAACTCACGAACGATTTCATCTTCGGAGGTGATCGGGAAGGGGAGATAAACCTCGATGACTCTTCCACCGGCGCGTGTAACGTACGCTTCGATGGCTTTTTTAACAGAGCCGTAAGCGTAGTGAAGCATGACGACGGCGTCTCCTTTAGTGAACCTTCCTTCGTGGAAAGCCCATGTGGCTTGCTGAAGGACGATTGCGGTGGCGGTGGAGGCGTTATCGACGATGGAGATTTCATCGACGTGGTTGGCGTTGACGAGTTCTTTGATGATGGTTCGGGAATGAAGGATTCCTCTTTTGAGGTAGTTGAAGTAGAAGTGATCTGGCTGACGGAGGAATTTGAACTGCCATTCACGTTGAGCGGCGAGGACGGAGGATGGACAGCAACCGAAGGCGCCGTTGTTGAGACGCGCGACGTTGGGGTCGTGGTGGGAGAATTCCGATTGGATTTCGGCGTCGGTGATTGGAGAGGGAAGGAGTTTAGGTTTCTTTGAAACGGTGCCGTTTTTGTGAGTTTGATCGTGGAAAGCCATTAGAGAATGAGAATGAAAATCGGAGTGATGAGATTAGAGGAAATACAAAGTGATGACGGAATAATCAACTAAAATGCCGATAGTGGCAATTCATTTATTATTTGTTTTTATTATCTTATTAATATGAACTTTGTTTTTTTTATTCACTGTCTTCATCTTTCATAACAAGACATAGTGCATAGAACTATGTTGACAACCATTAATATTTTGTTCTTTCTTTCGTCTTATTTGATGTCGTGTCGTGTTTCACTAACTAACTATGATTAATTAAATCTAACTAGGATGGTTTTCTTTTCTGAACATAAACCTCCTTAATCGGCTAATCTAATTAATTAAACATGGTTTATGAAACTTATCTTATCTCTTTTATTCAATCTCCATGCAGATTCTTTAATTGTTAAGCGACAGCTGCAAAGCTCTCAACGCAATCAATTTGAGTCTATAGACATATATACATCATTACACGTCAAGAGATTTTTTTTTGTTTTGACAAGAGTCAATCTTAAGAGATTGAAGTACTGATAAGGGAACTTTTTACTCTTATGCTAAGTTTTTGAAATTTAAACATCAAAATGTCACAAATTTAAAATATTTTTTTTTTAAAATTGCACGCCTTTAATAAGGATTTGTTCAATCAATAGTTAAATTGTGGTTTTTTTTCACTCTTTAATGGATCGGTTATTTATTGGCTGAGCCATAAAAAAACGTTTTTTTATTTATTTTTTAATAAGAGTTGCTCTTGGTGCAGTGTTTGGTCATGTCTTGTTGCATGTTTAGAGAGAATTTTGTAGCTAGTATAGCATGGTAGTTGTGGAACTACACTAATTTATTCAATTTGTCCAACAACAAGAAATTGATTGATACTATAGTGTGTCAAATCATGTATGTAAAGTGTAAGCAAAACAAAAAATTGTACCAACAACGATTTTTTTACACATTTTTCAAACTACCCTCTTTTTTATATGAGTTAGTCCTTGGAATGGGCGAATATGACTTCTAAAAAAATGTCCTAAATGAATTCGTCCATGCATTGGACGAACCAGTATTGTGATGGTTTCCCTGCATGAGTTCGTCTATGCATTTGGTGAACTAGGGTTAGTTTTTTTTTTTTTTTTAATTTTGATTTTGTAGATTTAATTAAAACTTTTTAATATAAAAACTATTTAATTAATAAGTCTATTTAATTAATTATATATAAATACTATTTAATTAATTTTATAAAAAAATTATTTAATTAATTAGTTTAATATAAAAACTTTTTAATATAATAACTAATTAATTAATAAAAAAATTTTAATATAATAACTTATCAAATTCAATAGTTTTTATTAATTAATTAATTTTTATATTAAAAAGTTTTTATTAATTAATTAGTTATTATATTAAAAAGTTTTTATATTAAACTAATTAATTAAATAATTTTTTTATAGAATTAATTAAATAATATTTATATATAATTAATTAAATAGGCTTATTATTTAAATAATTTTTATATTAAAAAGTTTTAATTAAATAGTTTTAATTAAATATACAAAATCAGAATAGAAAAAATAAAAATAAAAATAAAAAACTAACCCTAGTTCGTCCAATGCATGGACGAACTCATACAGGGAAAACATTACAATACTGGTTCGTCCAATGCATGGACGAACTCATGCAGGGCATTTTTTTGGAAGACATGTTCGCCCATTTCAAGGACGAACTCATATAAAAAAAAGGATAGTTTGAAAAATATTTTTCAACATAGGACATTATGGGATTTAAGGGTTCAAAATGGGTTACAATAATAAAAAAAATCACCAACAACAGCCCTTAATAAAAAATATATAAAAAAAAAAATTCTAGACTCGATCAATGGATAGTCGAATTATTGAAGAGTGAAAGAAAAACACAGTTTGGCTATTGAAGAGTGAGAAAAAAAAAACACAGTTCGGCTATTGATTGAAAAGAAAGTAAAAATGTGACAAGAGAGTAAAATAAAAAGTCTTCCTTTATGCTTTTAGATTCAAATTTTAATAAATATAAAAAATTCTTATGTTAAGTCAAATCCATATAAAAGTTTGGTACTACTTTAAATACTAAGATTAAAAAAGAAAATTTATAAATTTTTAGTGAAAAAGAGGAGGGGGTATACCTGCAAAGCACTCCGATGTTAAAATCAATTTCAGTAAGAGAGAGAATGCAAGTATAGAAAAAAGGTTATAATATAATAGCTGACACTCTAGTGAAAGAGAGTATTTATAATGTGCCATCAGTGTTAGGTCAACAATTAATTTATATTGGATTGGATAGGTAGGTCATATACGAATAACTGTCAAGGTTTACGTGGCGTAGGGAAGACTAGCACGTGATCTTTGTTCTTAGTCAACTGCTAAGTGATCTTTAGAAGGTGGGTGACCTGTTCTTTTAGATGTGAGTAGTTGTTTGATGACGTGTCTCCGCGTGGAGGGCACGTGGAGTCCATAAGAAAGACGCGTAAACGCTCCCCGTGTGATGAGTTGGGTCCTCATTTGGGCCTTCAACGACGGAGAGATGGATTGGGTCGTGCCCGACAGTGGGGTAACCTCTGGTCCAATCTAGAATTTTTTTTTAAAAAAAAAAGGTTTAATATCTTTTATTTTGTATTTTAATTTTCGGATTTATTTTTGATCTATCAATTTAAAAATTGTTTATATTGATTCTTTAACTCTTCAAAATGTTCTATATTAATCTTTTTATCTGACGAAAAAATTCAAAAATCAATCACTAAATTCATTGCTAATTAAACATAAAAAAACTAATATGGAACATTGTAAAAAATTAAGAGTTCAATATGGACAATTTTTAAATTAAGGGAACATAAGGAAGAGATTAAAATACATTTACTAAAAAGGTTATTAAACCAGAAATAACAAGGAAAATTGGATCATTTCAAATGACGTTGAATAATTGCTTTAAACGCGAGCATGGAAGTTGATGTATCAATGTTCTTTAGACTCCTAAGAAAAAAAGTGTCAAAAAGTGTCTGGGGCTTGATTTTCCACTTATTGTCAATTTTGATTAGTACTTTGCAACTGAATCATTTAAATCAAACCATTTTTTAAGTTAAGATTTATAAACCAAATCATTATTTCAGAAAACCGGCTTAATTTGTGAAATGGATTCAAACTGGTTTGAATAAGCTGGTTTTAACTAAAACTCAAATTTCAATCAAACAACAATGAACATCACTGGTTTTATGACTGAACACCATTTCAGTAAACAATGTAGTTTCTGTCAACGTCTTCGATTTCCGAGAACTCCACCGGTGTCATTTAATATCGCTGATTCTGAGAACAACAAAGCCAAACGACATTTTCTTTGAGCATCGAAATTGAATGCCTCCGATTCCTTGAAGGTCAAACCGCTAGGATCTCTAGAAATATTCATTGTTTCACACAAACTATTTGGGCAGAAGTAGTTACAAAGGCACAAAACGATTCACAAAAATATTATATAAGACACATATTAAAATCGATTATCATAACAACGATTGAAAAACACATAATCAATGTCAGAGATATGGAGAGAATTGTGCTGTTACAATCATTCAAAAACAATTTAGAAAGGCATGATGACTGAATCAGAGAGAAATTGGTTTGTAAGCCCTACTGATGTAGATTACAAAGTTAAAACAGTAATACCATACTTGTAGCCCTACTGATGTAGATTACAAAGTTAAAACAGTAATACCATACTTGTAGGCCTACTGATGTAGATTACAAAGTTTAAAACAGTAATACAATTTCATTCTTGCAATGCCTCCAAATTATATTATTTCCCTATTTCTGTATGTGGGGGAAAAGGCGAGTTACCTACAGTGCTACTTTTTATTGTCATAAGCAGCTATATTCTGGGGCTCACATTCAGGACTAAACAAACGAACCAGCATAGCTGTGCTTGAACTTACGGTTACAGCCCCACATGCTGCCCAACGAAGACTCCTTGGAACTGTAATTCGAGGACCTGCATGACCAGCAAAGTAAAAGTTCGATGAACTGTAATGAAAGACCTGGATTGTGAAAAATGGGATGTGAACATGTGATAAATATTTTACTATTAAAAAATATACTAAGTGTAAATATATAAAGAATGTCAATTCAAGTGAAAGTACAAAGCAAGTTGTTGGGAGCATCATGATCCATTCGTGAAAAGAAGAAAAATATAGAACAAAATGAGGACTTACAATGTATATTTCATTTGACATATATACCAAAGCAATGTTAAGCAGCAATATTTGTATGAATAATTAAAAACAAGGATTAGATATATGCAAGGGCACAAAATTTGTAAGTTGTAACCACATACTATGAAGAAATTTATAGCAGGAATCATGCAATAAATATTGGAAGGGGCATCAGAAAGCAGAGCTTAAGACATTTATATATTAGAACTGAACTTTCAAAAGCTATAGCCTGCAGGAGACAGAGAAATAGATGCAGAGCAGGAAAAGTTAAAAAAGCAATGGCAAAAAGTAGAACGAACCATAATGCATTCGGCAAAGCACCCAAAATCCCAATGCTCCACCAACACTAAAGATTCCGGCTGTGTGTCTCATTAGTCTAGAACAGGGTTTTGCATCAGACCTCATGACCTCGCCATCAGAATAGCCTAAGAACTGCCTTAGTGACATTGTATCAGTTACCTGCAACGACAGCGTATTAGAGCACCCAACTCTAGCCCATGTGGATCAGGGCCAAAAATCTCACAAATCTGTGGCCTATACAGGCAGCCGATGTACCTTGTCAATAAAACTTTTCAAGAAAACAAATTGGCCAAGCTTATTCTATGGGCCATCCCACTCCAAAAGCTCAATGTATATATAAACTAAAAGTACTTCAAAAAAATTGAAAAAATGTAAAGAAAATGTAGTCTTTGAGTTTTAATATTGCAGTACTAGACATTTCTGTGACAGAAAAATTGCAGTACTAGATACAGCGAGGAAAGCCTCTCATATTATTATCACCCTCTGAAAATTACAACACTAAACAAAAACTAAAATCCTAGTAAATAGCTGAAAATAAAAAAAAAATGTGGCACCAATTTTGCAAAGCAAAATAACATTTAGTATCATTTGTTTACCTGCGAGAGCCCGGTTAAATCTCGGTGGTGGTACCAGTATTTACTCTGCAATAGGTCATACATAACAACTGAATTACAATGGTCAGGCAAGCATTAAATTTTAAAATAAAAATAAGAAGCAGGGGGAGGGGGGAATAGATGTTGAACAAGGTAGAAACCTATTTGGCACAAAAACAAACAGAGTAATTCATACAGAGATGATGAAATGTATGACAAATTAAAAAGCACAAAAGCCTTGATGTTTTGGCTAGTTCCAAGTCAGGTACCAAGAGACAAAAAAAAAAATCAAATTCAGATTCAGATTTCAACTAAAAAAAAAGCCTTGCTTCCTTGGCTAGTTAAAAAGTTTAAATTTACAAGAAAAAACCACAAACTAACCACCACCATTGGCTATTAAATCATTACAACCTACCCCCACTTAACATGCTTACAACAGGAACTTGAGATTAGGCATATGACATGTAATTGGCATCGTGAAAAGTAGTGACATTAGATAGGCATTACTTAATTGGAGCAACACATAACCAAAACAAGAAGAGATGTTAGATAGGCATTTCTTAATTGGAGTAACACATAACCAAAACAAGCATTCAATCAAAACTAAAATCTCACTAGCCTTGGTCGCAGCACCCTTAATAACCTCTCTTTCCAAATAAAACTAAATTTCTTTAGAATGCAAATAGCACAACCATCTCCCACATCCCATCCCATTCCAAACAAACCAGCTATCTTGATTCTCGACCAAATAGCTCAAACACCATTCCAACTCTAACAAATTGGGAGTTTTTAAAGCAAAAGTTTAATATAAATGGTAGTGTAAAGCAAAATTTTAAGATATATTGCTGCTCTAACAGTTACAGAAAGCTAGAGAAAACTTATTCATAATAAATGGGTGGTATAAAACAAATTTTTAAGATAAAATTTCCAATCCAAGAAAGAACTTCGTTGAGACATTTTCACAAACAGCTCATAAGTGCGCATATTAAACAGTTACAAGCATTAAGAAATGTCATCTTGTCACATCTTTTCAGCCTCTAAGAAATGAAACTAGAGAATCATAGGACTCTAATAACCAAAATTTCACTTCACCATCATCGGAAAAATCAAAACATTCAGTAAGGGGTTAGCGGGTTAGAGAGTTATAGCACCTTACCGGTGACGAATTCTGAAGCCTTCACTGCTGAAATGGAAGTAAATTCTTGTTCTTTCTCGGTTCTGGCGTGGTTCACTTGGATTTGTTGTCGTACAGAAGAAGAGGAGAACCCAGAAAGTTGCAATATGCGCTTGCTGAGAGTTACTCTTACTCCCTCAATACATGTTTTTTTTTTTTTGAAATACTTCAACTAATCATAACAAATTAATTAATATAAACAATTGCAAGATTGCTAGTATTTGATAATATGATGAATATAATTAGAGTTAAACATAGATAATATGTATTGATATTTGTGTATTAGGTATTTATTAGAGCATCCACACTCATTATCTCCACTTTGATTTTTTAAATGGGGTTCACGTAATTTTTATATTATATTTCACTTTAATATTTTCTAAACAACTCAAATATATTTTTTAAATATCCATACAATCCATCAAAAACTCTAAAATGGGTCCCACCTAGGGCTGGCAATGAACCAAACCAACTCGAAGATAGTTCGGAATTCGACTCGACAATTAAATCGTTGAACTAGGTTCATGAATCAAATGAGTTGAGTATGAGCGAAAAATTAAGTTCGTTAACTAAATGAGCTGAACTTGAACTATACATAGTTTGACTCGTTAGGTTCATGAGTCAACTCGATTACATATGAAAAGAATTATACTGTCTTTAAGATTAGGTTTAAATATTTACTTCAAATCTTAGACAAATTTAATCTTCAATTTAGTAGTTTTTGAATTAGACTCTCAAATGTATCTCTTGAAAGTTGTGTAGGTTTTGAATTAGTAGATTTCGAAGATAAAGTTTAATTTCAATATGATAACTTTTATTTTATTTTAATATTTTATTTAAAATATATTTATTTATTTAAAATGTCAAATATACTAAAAAATATATATATTTAAAAAAATAGTTTTTAAGTTCGTGAACCATGTGAGCTGAACCTAATGAGATGAACCTAACGAGTCGAACCGAACTGTTCGTGAACTTATAACGAGTCGAGTTTGAGCTTAAAAAAAAGTTCGTGTCAAACTCGAACTCGAACTCGAATTCGAACAATTCTTAACGAGTCGAGCCGAGCTGAGGTGAGTTCGACTCGACTCGACTCATTTCCAGCCCTAGTCCCACCAAATACCTTACATTTAATTAAGAAACGTTCTCTTGCAGAACAACGTTGGCAAATTAAATGACAGTTAAAATTTTCAAATATCTATCAATTTCTCATAAAAAAAGCTTTAGTTTTTGTGAAGGAACGATGACATGACATTGATATTTATGCTCTTAGATGTTTTGAAAAACTTTTTGAATATAATATTTGTGTTGTTTTCAAAGTTTGTTTTACCTTATTATAAATCAAGATTTTCATTTCATGTTTATTTTTAATTCTAAAGAGTGTAATATACCATCGTGACTAAAGACCTTCTTATATAAATATAAATTTAAAAATTAGTCAAAATTTATAAATAAATTTTAACATTTTAAATGATTAATATATCTAATCTATATATAATTCAAATATATTATTTATTAAATAAATTTAAAAAGTTAAAATTTATTTATAAAAAAGAATTGATGGAGTATTTATTAGTATAAGCTATAGAAAATATAATAATTATGAGTATACTGGTAAAAAAAATTATTAAAATAACTTTTAAAAAAAATATTAATTTATAAATATCAATACTATATTAAAATATAAATATAAATAAATTATAATGTTAAAAATTGAATTTTAAAAGATAATTTTATACTCATTTAAGTCTTGAGCTATCTCATCAACACGTATAATTAAAAATTAAAAAGAATTTTATAAAAAGCACAATAGAATTTCTCAAAAGAATCATATATTTAGCAAAAGAATCATATATTTAGCAAGAGATGATAATCACTAGATGTGTGAAAATTTTAAAAAATATTTAGATCATACTCACACATAATAGAAAATTTAAATTCATTTTTAAAATGTGTATAAAAAATTGTAATTAAAGATAGAAGAAGGAATATTTTAACTAAAGTTTGATGATAAATTTTTCGGTCAATTTATTGATAAGGACAAAGGATGAGTTAATTTGGGATTGGACTGTGGCTAAAATTTGGTAGATTTTAAGGATTTGTACTAATATGCTCTTTATTTCTGTATCGGTTTGTAACGCATGTGCAATGGCTGATAACAACACCGAAAACAAATCTGGCAGAGTTAGGTTGGGACGTGTATCCCAAACAACATCGGTACAACGTGAGAGGGCGGAAACTAGGACCACGAGGCCACATGTTAATGATAATTCGTTTGATGGTTCACAACCATCAAGTTTGCAACACCTAGATTCTACTTCTCGTAGTCGTTTCTCTCAAGCATCCACTTCTCGGGGCCACGAGCCCCTAGATGATGTAGCAAGCTCTGAAGTCTCTGAAGCCCCAGAAGGCCAGAAGGAAGCCATTGGCTCATTACAGAGTTATCCAAGAGGCCCATTTGACACCTCTTTACTTCATATATATGTCGATCATGATGTTGGGCATATCTGGGAATGAAAGGTATATTTCGTTTGCAATACATATGTTTTCAACTAATTAATTTAATATTGATGGTAATATTTTATTTTTATAGAAGCGTACACATTTGAAATCGATAACCATGGGCAGAATATATTGGAGTTAGGGCAACCTACTGCTAATTGGTTTCAAGATGATCTTTGCTATTTTGGTTTTGCTGGTTTATATTCTGCTGCGTACATGACCATATCCCACGACATGGAAGAGGTAACATTCAGAGACTTCATCTTTCCACCTTCTTGTAGGCGAGATGACCATCACCTTGGATACTTCTCATGTCTCTTGCATATTCCCATAAAAGGAAAATTACTAGGCCATAAGAGGATCAGTCGAGAGGAAGGCCTCGACATGACAATCACCCATTTGGAGAATGACCTTGTAACACCCTAATTTCTCCAGCGTAATTTATAATTAAAATCAGAGTAAATTAAAACAATTAAGCAATTAGGATGATACATTCAACTTTAAACAACTCATGCAATAGGATATATGACACATATGAAATTAAAAATAATAAGAATCATAATACAAGTCTGAACTTCAACATTTTATTAGCAGTGGAAAGACATTAGACAACTGGCTAGTTTAACTTTTCAAATATAATCATAACACAATGTAATTATAAGGAAATAACAAACATAGGAGATTCACATAATAATCTCCACCAAGCATAAAATAAAGAAACAAGCGTTTTTCCCCTAGTGTTACATATCAGAGCAGACGTCGACTCAACAAAAGCATAAAGGATAGTAATCTCTTCCACTTGCTTCCACACCTATATTGCAGATTATCTGCACAATGCTCATGAAAAAGCAACATTCAAACAGAAGGGGTGAGAAATC